CATCCTCCTCCCCGTCTTTGTCTGCTTCTGCTCCTCTACCAGGTTCTGCTTCCTCCTCATGTTCATCCTCCTCCTTGACACTCGCACCGTCCTTGTCGGTCCCCGCACTCTTCAGCGACTGGTCCCCGCGCCGTAGACTCCGCGTCGCCTTTGGCGTCGCAATGGCGCGGCTCAGCACGCTCACGCGCATGCTGCTCTGTGCCGTGTGGATGCTCAGGCTGTGCGCGTCGGGGTCCCGCCCTTGCACACCAAGGAGCGCGTTAGACTTACGCGAGGGGCCCGTGGGCTGGCGGGCGTGGGATGTGGATTGGGTGGGGGCGGAGAGAGAGGAGGCGGGGATGGCGGAGAGGAGGTCGTCGACGGGGAGTTCGAGGACTGCGGAGGAAGATTAGTGTAAGTAGAGAACGAAGGGTATGATAGGGAGAGGGAAAAATATGGATATGGATAGACACAGCACAGTGGCGCGCAATAGGAAGATATGCTTCCAGCATGTCGTCCATTTGGCTCCAAACTCCAACGAGCTCGTCCCAACGGAAGCACGAAGAGACAGCCCCACGCATCCGGCAAAGACTCGACGAGAGACGCCTCCACCGTTCCCAGTCTGCACTTCACACTAAGGAATGACAACTCCCGTGAAATGCCCGAGAACGCGCCTCCCGCCAGGTCCCATTCCACTACACCCTCCACACGCCATCACGCAGGCCAAGCGCCGCACCAAACTCCATCAGAATCCCGCGCCCTCCTCCTCCTCCCCACAAAACAAACTCCCTTTTCACACAAAAACCAACTTTCACAACACTCACAATCTGCAATCTCGCGCACCGCCCAGCCCTCGACGCCGTCGAGCCCGCCCTCGCGCGCGGCGCGGTCCGCGCGCCCGCGCCCGCCGCGTTTGAGCCACTGGAGCACGTCCATCCTGCAGGGGGTGGTGAGTGAGATGCAAAGGAGGGGACAACGTTTGGATTTGGAGTTGGGGAGGAGGGGCATGGGGGGAGGGAGAGGAGGGTAAGGGGGAGGGAGAGGAGAGAAGAGAGGAGAGAAAGGATAGCGGGCAGAAGAGAAGGGAAAGTGGAGTTGTCGGAACGGGAGGAAGGGAGCGGATTGGGAGGAGAGTCGGCGAAGGGGAGAGGAGGGGGACGGAAGACGAGCAGCAAGCGAAGAACGGTGGGGCGGAGGAGGAGGAGGAGGAGGAGGAGGAGGATGAGAGGATGACAGCGACGGCTAAGGAAGGAGGCGGCGATGAAGGGGAAAGAGAACGATCGCCGGAGGGAGCAATAAAATAAAATAGAATATGACAAGTGGGTGACAGGGTGATTGGTTTCGAGTAAGCGGAAATAAGGGGCGTTAGGGCAAGGGATGGAGGGAGGGACGTCCACCCAAAAAGGACGAGGGGGATAAGGAAAGAATGGATGGGGGAAAGGAAGATGACGTAGAAGATAGAATGATCACCCACCTCGCCTGCTCGACTTGCACGCGCACATGGCTCGTCTGGCTGAGCAGCGGCTGCGCGGGAAACGCGTCCGGGTCGGAGGGGGAGGGGTGCGGCAGCAGTAGCACGTTGACCAGCGCCTGTCCGCGCGGGGGTGTAAGTACAGCAGATCGAAAAAAGAACGACGAAACGCACCTGATACACCCGCCCCGCATTCGCCTCGGTCGTCCCCCGCACGACGCTGCGGCACACCCACTCGACGCGCTCCCCGTCCTCGAACCGCACCCCGTCGCCCTCCATGATGCTCACCCACTCCCGTTCGCCCAGGACCGCGGCCGTTTCGCCACCCATCACGCTGTCGACGTGCTTGCGCCCTGCGTCGATAAGTGGGCGCACGACGTCCGCCCACGGGTCCACGAGTGAGGCGAGGCGCGCGAGCGCCGCCTCCGCCGCGAAGAGGATCGGCAGCGCGTTCCCCGGCGTCGTGCGCTTCTGCAGCCCCTTGAGCGCGGAGGCGTGCAGCTTCGGCGGCAGCGCGGCGAACTCGGCCGTGCACCACCCGTTGCCGTAGAGCCCGACGAGCGCGCGCCGCGCGCCGCGCTCGAGGACGGGGTCCAGCACGTCGGGGCGGATCGCGAACTCGAGGATGCGCGGGACGCGCGCGGCGCACTTCCGGCAGGTGCAGCCGCCCGCGCGCCACGCGCCTCCGGTGAGCTCCTCGTATGCGGCAAAGGGGAGCGCGGCGTGGAAGAGGCCGTGTGCCATCTCGGAGATGATGCGCGCGCGGACCTCGTTGTAGAGGGCGGGGAGCTGGAGGTACGTCGCGGAGAGGAGGAGGGAGAGGGCGGTGGAGAGGTCGTAGGTGCGGTGCGAGAAGATGAGGGTGCCGGTGTAGAGGAAGCCGAGGGTGAAGTGGAGGGAGGCAGGGGTGAAGGGGGGCGATGGTAGGGTCAGTGTTAGAGGCTCTCCAGCAGTGCTAGACGATAAGGATGACGAGAGCGGCTTTTGGGGCGAGGGCCAGGAAATGAGGGCAGAGTGGAAGTACGGCGAGCGCGACGCCAAGATGAAGCGATGCGAGCTAAAGACGGGCATCTGCCGCTCGTGCCCGTCGTCGTCGTCGTCCTTGCCCACTGGCTGCGGCCCGTTGCTCGTGAGCGCAATGCGCACGTCCGAGTATAGTCTACTCCGCCACATGAACACCAGATCCTTCCGCAGCTTGTCAATCCTGAGCTCCTCCGCGTCGGCCCCATTTCCGCCGTCCTCCTGCGCGGCCTGGGCAGCCTCGTCGAAGAGGAACTCGAACGCCTCGCCAAATCCCTGCCCGGTGTAGAGGTACTCGAGCTGGTTCGCGAAGAGCGCGGGGTTGATGTTCGTCGTCAGGCGCGTGAGGCCGCCCACGGTGGTGCTCGGTGCCGGGGACGCGGCACCGTTGCGGTACGCCGGGGATGGCGAGCGCGCGAGGTCGAGAGATAACGCGGAATTTGCGGGGAGCGGGGATCCGGTGTTGGTGCGCCCAGGCTGGGGCCGGAAGGAAAAGTAGCGGGTCTGGAAGGAAGGCGGAGCGCGGGCGTAGACGATGGCTTTGTGTCCCCACACTTCCTCCGTCTTTCCGTTGCTGTTGTCCTCACTGCTCAGCTCCCACACGACATCTGGGAAGCGCTCTTTTGCGTGTCGGAAGAGCGCGGCGAGGTCCGCCTGCCAGCCCGCTGTCGAGTTGCGCGTAGCTTCCTGTATATCGGTCGTGGTCAGTACCATACCCGTGTGTGAGTACAGACATAGAGTACAGACATACCTGCAGCGAGAGTGCATGCGATGCGTCCTGCGGGGCCGACATTTCTCTCTATTTTTGCCCCGCAAATCGCAATTCAAATAAATTCCTTTCTGGCCGCGAGTCAATGGTATCCGGCGTCAAGTCAAGTCCTCCTCACTTCGAGTCTAGTCTGTGGATGTCTTTCCGCCTTCCGCTCCAAAGTCGAATTCTCGCGCGTGAAATCGCAAGGCTTCCAACAAGGCAGGTCGTTCAACACAGGGTTTCAGAGCCTGCTTTCTGCCAGATGGGTGGGTGAAAAGGCGGAGGGTGAGGAGACAGGCGCCAAAGAGCGTATGAGGTGAGATGTGAAAGAAACGAGAAACACGAGGCGCCGTTGATTGGGGTTAGGGGTCCCAATCAGGCTTTCAGGTTGTTTGGGTAAATTGTCGCGTGCTCCTCGGCTTAAACCCGGTATAAAGGTCGGTGCGCGTGCGAGTAAGTTATGAAGAAGATAAGAGAATTCTCTCCTGACACCACGTTTTCATCTCCATTGAATTGTTCTCGCGTGATTCGATGTTGAACGAACACCAAAGTTCATACAACTCCGACTCGCCGCGATTCAACTGGGCCATTTTTTCCTGCGTAAATTGAGGATGCAGAGGAGGAAAGAAAGGCTCGGTGGTAGGACCACTCTGCATTCAATGCATGCTTTCTGGTTCTCAATGATGGCAGCTGGAGGCGCCCCGGGCCCGAGCCCCCATTTGGCATTCAATGCATTTTTTTTTATCTCTGAGGGGATTGGCTCTCGCATAAATTGAGGGTGCGATTAAGCTGAGAAAGACTTGGTGGTGGGACCACTCCTGCATTCAATAACTGTACACAATTTCAGCAGGAGCCGCCCGTTCGACTCGGGCCTGAGTCATGGTTTGGTTCTGTGTACCAATTTTTTGTCTCGTTGAGTGAGGATAGGATTATTTTATACATTTTATATAGGCTGGAGTCCCACACTTTGGTATTCATGTGTAATGGCATTTCCTCCCTACAACTTTCATGGCATTAACTGGAATTTTCTAGTAGACCCAGCAGATGATTTTCAGAATGCTGCTGCAGACTGAATCTCATTATCCCAAACACTCAAAGAAAAAAAAGAGTGAAATTGGAATTGACTCTCGAATAAATTGAGAGTGCAGAGGAAGTAAGAAAGGCTCAGTGGTGGGACCACTCTTGCATCCAATGCATGTTTTTTTGGTTACAATTGCAGCTGGAGGCCCCATTCGACTTGGGCCTGAGCCGTGCAAGTCAGTAGTGCTTGACCTTTTTGTTTCTTTGAGGGAAATAAGAATTGGCTCTCATATAAATTGAAAGTGGACCACTCTTGCATTCGATGCAAGATTAAGATTGAAAATTTGCTCCAGGACCTGCCTGGTTGACTCGGGCCTGAGCCATCCAGTGGCTATTCAACCAAGTTTTGTCTCTTTGAGGGAATTACTAAATGCATTCAATATTCAATTGAGTATTCAGATTGAAAATTTGTAGCAGGAGCCACCTGTTCAACTCGGGCCTGAGCCAACACTTGTTTCGGCATGTTTTTTTCTCTCTGAGGGGATTGGCTCTTGAATAAATTGAAGGTACAATGCAAGTAAGAAGGGCTCAGTGGTCCGACCAATCCTGCATTTAATAGCTGAACAATGTCCCACTTTCAGCAGGAGCCACCTGCTCGGGGGCCTGAGTCATGGCTTCAGGCTATGTTGATTTTTGTCTCATTGAGGGAACCGAGGAATTGGCTCTCGCATAAATTGAAGGTGTGATGAAAGTCAGAAAGGCTCAGTGGTGGGACCACTCCTGCATTAAATTATTGGTAATCCACTGTGTAGGAGATGCCCGTTCGACTCGGGCCTGAGCCATGGCCAACCATACCCAAACCTATTTTTGTCTCTCTGAGGGCATTGACTCTCACATAATTTGAGGGTGTGATGAAAGTCAGAAAGACTTGGTGGTGTGACCATTCCTGTATAATTCTTTAATCCCGAGATAATTGCAGCAGGAGCCCCCTGTTCGACTCGGGCCTGAGTCATGGTTGGCAGCCATGCAAATTTTTTCTTTCTTTCGAGGAAAGTGTAATTGTCTCTCGTATAAATTGGGAGCAAAGGAGCTGAGAAAGGCTCAGTGGTGGGACCACTCCTGCATTGAATTACTTAGTATTCTGAATGCAGCAGGAGCTGCCTGTTCGACTCGGGCCTAAGCTATGGGTAGTGTCACTGGTTGTACTAGTTTGTTTCCTTGAAGAAACGTGGAATTGCCTCTTTGCATAAATTGAGGGCATAAAGGAGCCAAGAAAGGCTCGGTGGTTCTACATTCAATGCATGTTTTCTGGTTCCAATTGCAGCGGGCCTGAGTCATGAACTGATTCCATCCAAGTTTTTGTTTCTTTGGAGGGATTGGATCTCGCATGAATTGGGAGCACGATAAAAGCAAGAAAGGCCCAGTTGTGGGACCACTCCTGCATTCAATTGGTCCTTCATATACTATGATTCCCGTTCGATTCGGGCCAGAGCTGCCATGTATGGTTAACTCTGACCTTTTTTGCCATTTCTTTGATCTTTTATTTCTTCAAGTGAAATTGGGATTGCTCTTGCACAAATTGGGTGTGCAATAGACTTGAGAAAGGCTTGGTAGTGGGGCCACTCCTGTGTTAAATATTGGATAACCAGCCATAGCAGGAGCCACCCGTTTGATTCGGGCCTGAGCTATCAGGAATAATAACTGTAATCTTTTTTACCTTGAAGGGAAACTTCTCTCTTATGCGAACTGAGAATGTCTGCTTTTCTTTCCTGAAGAGGTATGGTATGAATCATCCACATCTAATAGATGTGGATGATTCACACCAATGATCTATGTCCAATCATGATTGTTGCTTTTTTTTACCGTCCCTGGGAACCCGGACACTAACCACTAACCTTATCCCGAACCATATCCCGAACACTACCCCTAAACACTAACCCAGTATGCAAAGTGGATACAGAGTCGGTTGTGTGAATGATTGTTACTTCGCTTGGAGCCATCCGCCAGAGGGCAACCTGTTTCGTTGTGATCCACACATTTGAACTCGTTGCCCACAGATTCTCACGATTGTCTCTGTTTTCTCCACTCCTTGGTTTGATTCTTTTGTATCGCAACAGGACAGCCACATTCAAATCTGCATTCACATTCATGTCCCTGATGGGTATGAACTTTCTCCCTTTGTGAAGGGAATCAGTGTCATAAATTAAGCATGTAAGGGATTCAAGAACAGCTCAGTGGTGGGACCATTACGAGTACTTATGTAATAAGTTCTCGTTCTTTTCTAAAAGTTTACATGGCCATTTCCATAGCTCTGTGAATTATCAGTTACGATTTTATAATACAATGAAAATAGTGGCTGTGTTGAAGTCTTTTTTAAAGGTTTCATTACATTTTTTGTGACAAGTTAGTGGCTGTGTTACCAGCCAATGCCGAGCGTGCTGCTAACGACCACAGGCGTCAGTTCGAACTTGGGCTTTGGACTCCTTTTCCGGTGGTCTTTTTAGTTTTTCAAGCAGCCAATGCATATCACCTCGCTGGGTCCAGTATATACCTCCAAAATCTTCTTTGTCAAATGTCTGATCAATGATTGAACAGTGCAAATGTTCAATGCTTTCGGTCAATTCTTCCACAGGAACAAGGGCCTCAAATTTCGACAGAAACACTGTAGCAAACCTCGAGATGATTCCGAGCACAATCTGGAAACAAAAATTTCCGGAAATGTTGAACTGTCAGAAACTTTCGACCCTTTCAAACCGCTGCCAGTTTGAGAAATAGCCTGGTGATGTGCGAGTTTCTATCAACCATGTGATTCTAGGCCCTATCCTGGCTTGCAATCAAACATTTGCTAGTGGAATCCAAGCCTGGATGTTCTCTGTTGTTTTGTTCTTGCTGCCAGATTTTGCATTGTGGGTCATATCCACCTACTACTGTCTTCAATACCCAGGTCCACTGAGGAGGAAAGGACCTAGACATTGAATACTTTTCAGCCAAGTACTCAACTTGACATGTACCTTTGATCTGCTGCAGCCACCTATCCGACTCAATTACAAGTTGTGGAGGCTAGCACCTCCTACTTTTCCTTGGAAGTTTTTGGGAGCAACATTTGTTTACGGAAATGGGATCCACCACCAAGCTTATGATTGCCGAGTCCTCTTTCCTTTTTTGAGTGGATATTGCTGGTGAATTGTGTACTTGAAGGTCCCTTGGTGTGTCATGCAGATTTCAAAACTGAGATTTTTGGAAACTTCCGATCACATGGATATATATTTTTTTTTTAAAAAATAAGTACGAGTTTTGCAGGGCTATGCCACGGCCCACACCCCAAGTTTCTTGATGGGTAGCATGAACTGCCCGTTCGATTCGGGCCTGAGCTCTAGTCTGGCTTTAAATTCTTCCTCTTTTTGATGTTGAATGCCTCGGAAGTGTCATCACTTTCGTCAAGTGGAAATCTGGTCCTTGTTTCTGCTGGAGCACTTTTTGCTTCCTTCGTATCACTTGAAATTCACGGAAAATAATAAGTGATGGACAACAAGGAATTGATACTGAAAATCGGTCATTGTTATGTTCCTGTTGTCCTGCGTTCAACTCTAATGAACTTCTGTGTTTATATTGAACTCCGTTGAGAAATGATTGAGGTTGAATTTTGCATGGTTGGAGGACGACCTCATTTCAATTTGAAGTTAGTCTTTTATAAACAGATGCTACAACAATGCTCACTTGTAAACTCGTGTGTTGTAATTTTGTAATTTGAAGCTGCACTCATTTTATGCTGTGATCCTGTGGATCACTTTTGGCTCCGGACTTACTCCCATAAATTGAGGGGCAAAAGAAACTAAGAAAGGCTCGGTGGTTGAACCACTCCTGCATTCAGTGGACAATTCCGATTCTTGCTGCTGGAGTGGCCTGTTCAACTCAGGGCTGTGTTATATCCATACAGCATACCAGCCCTCACGTCGACCTTCCGGTACTTCCGGTAGGCTCTGAGGCTCCGGTCATATACCGGAGCCTCTGGACCATCCGGTAACATCGGGTTTTTACGCAATGAAGGATTACTGAGCGTTTCCCGTTTATCTGTCTTTCCGTCTTTCCATCTTATTGTCATACGACTTCTCATCAGTCCTTCTGACTTGTCTTATTGTTAAGAACCACTCTCCTTCCTTATATGGAACACAATTAGCTACTTAGTATAAATACGTCTTTAATATGTCTTGTACGTCAGATTGATAACTAATGTTGCTTGGCTCACTTCCCTTGCACTGAGTCGTCTCCACACTCTCCGGTCCCCTCTGGTACTCCGACTTGTCTTCCTCTATCGGATACCTGCCGGCCAGGGTAGTCACTCACCCTTAACCCCCTGTGGTGTTGTGATCCCTCTTTGTATATGTTCCGGACCCTCCGGCCCTCCGACGCTCCGGCATACTGGAGCCTCCGGTCCTTTGGTCCTTGGTCATTCCGGCTCAGTATATAACAGTGGCTGAGCCATCGTTGTTTTCCATCCAAGTTTTATCTCTCTGAGGGGTTGACTCTCGTATAAATCAGGAGTGTAAAGGAGTTGAGAAAGGCTCAGTGGTGGGCACTGCGTGACGCTGCTTGCTAGAATTTAGCAGGCAGAGCCCGTCTGACTCGGGCCCAAGCCATACCTGGTTGTACTGTTTTGGGGGAGCAAAGGGAATCTTCCTCTCAATATTCCGGAACTTCAAAAGAGCTTGAACCTTCTGAAATATAGGTCTGAATGTGCAACAACACTGATCGGGACACATGGAGATGCCGCCGGAGCACATGTTGAAATCGTACGTACTGTTCGCGTTGTCTTTCCTTCTGAACACATGAATTCAACAGGGCACCCAGAAAATCCGACTTACCTTATGTAGCCTATGGATCATCTTTTGCTCTCCTGGAATGGGAATCATTGCTTTAAATTGAAGGTACAAAGGAACTCAGAGAGGCTCGGTGGTGAGACCATCCTATATTCAATGTGCCCTCCGAAAATGCTTATAGCAAGATCCGCCTGTCCGACTCAGGCCCCAACCATGGGGACGTCCAGTCTCGTTTTCTTTTCCTCGCGAAGATCAGCAGTGATGTTTGAATTTTGGGATTTCCGCAGAACAACCTCAGGTGTGCACTGGCTCCGCTGTGTTCAGTCGGGCACGCGTAGAATCCTCTCGGATCTCAGGAGATGTTTGCCTCGATTCAAGTGTTCATGCCGATTCGCAACATGGCAACCCACGTCGCACCTGTGAATTTTCAACATAAATTTAGCGCCAATGCCCAATTCTATAGGTTAGGTTGTACTCATCAAAATTGAACTCAGCCGCGCGAATGCCACTGCGAACGAACGCAAGACCGAGGCGCCCGATGTTCTTCTCGCAGACTGAGACTCGCCCGACGCTGTCGGGCGCTAGCAGTGGCATTCTGGGGCACTTCTCCGCAGAACGTCTCGCGTGCTTCGTAGCAAATACCGCGCGCCCGGGGGGGACGGGAAGGCTAGGCAGCTATAGGCCGCGCGACGTAAGCACAGTTAGGTTGCGTGATGCCGGCAGAAGGGGGGGATGTGGAAGGTTGGAAGGTTGGGTGACAGGGCAATCGCGCTTGACCGCCGGTGTAAATCCCCGAGATGAATCGAAGGAAGACCGAGGAAGTGACGTGTTGCGGGCGTCGGAGAAGCGCCGTATGCCACCGGCCGCTGCGAAGATGGGATCGGATTCGCTGCTGAGAAGGGGCGGGTAGATAGAACGAGGGATGCAGGGAGGGGGCCGAGTGCCGACGGGTGCCTGTCCGGGCATGGCGGGCGAGTAAAGATGCCTGCCGCGTCCCCGCAAACTCGGAACCGATAGACGGACGA